ACAATATGTATCTGCTAATCTTGATAATTTGCATACTTAGCTTAATTTACCAATTGTGTTGACATACATAATCAAAGAGTGAGAGTACAGAAATATGTTTGAAAGACACTTTAAAAAACATTAAAAATATATTTATGAAATAAAAATCACTTGAATTACATATAAATGCATAGACTTATGAGCTTATGACTTTCATCATCATTTCAAAGTACAGTAATTTTCTAACCACGTCATGACCATAATTTTTGATCAACACATATTCAGTTACAATTCTCTTGTAAATGATTTTTCAATATAATACATTATAGATTAAATATTGTTTACAATTTTTCTCAAACCATAACCATTAACTGTAGAGAGACAAGTGACATGACTCGATGATAGAAACCTTTTCGAGTCGAGGAATAAATAAACGAACATTGATGGTCTTGAACTACAAACAGTACGAACTGTTGGAGTGGTGAGCTTCAGCGCCCCTATCGGTCAAACTCATGGGTCACAAGTCAGATTCTAAGGCCGCTTCGCCAAGTAAATATAATTATATTTACGAATATTTCATATAATAATAAGACACTGTAACGGGGGAAGTTATCTGAAAAATGGGAAATTTATTTAAGAACAAACTCCCACGATGCAGAGCAAATCGTCGCTCCGTTAAACACGTATGATAGTACGTGTATTCGCCTTAACGTCAGATGATTTATCCTAGTTGTCTTCTATCAAACGGAGTTGAACTCACCTTAAGTCACGTGTCTTGTGACACTCCATGAGTTTTAAGTGTGAGCGACTTTACTCCAAATCTTCTTAATCCCCTAGATATAACTGGATTAAAACATAAGCATTTTTCAATTACTTAAGCTACTAGGAAAATTAAATGACGAAAACGGCGAATAAATTTAACAGACTTTAATTAATAAAAACCACTACAGTCTTTGTAGGGCCGAAAGACTAACGCACGCGAATAGGATTTTACAATTAACTATGTTCGGTGAGAAAGAGAGAGAGAGAGAGAATATTGGAATTCTACCGCGAACTAACGCTCGACGCGAATACAAAAAATAACGCTAACACGATTAGACAAAATACCGAATGTATTTTAGATCTCTCTTAATTGTTAGAACTAACGCGCGAGAAGCAGAATCGCGAACGGATCGATTAATTAAATCGACTACCGTTGCAACACTATTTAATAGCTCGCATGTTTACAAGAATACACGTTCTCGAGAAAAATAACTATTTTCTCTTGCTGAATAGCCAGGTTGTAAACAAATTATCTGCTATTTCCTGTGGATTTTTGAAGTTTTCCGACGGTTTTGGCTTGTAACTTTGATTTATCGCGTAGCTAGCAGAAAAAGAATAATACCACTCGATTCAGTGACTCGAAATACATGGAAATATACATTATTGACAGAAAAATTGATCGTTTTTTGCCGTCATTCTCTTTGTTTTCGCAAATTTTTGGAATTTTTCGAGAAATATAGCTCATAACTTTTGTTTATCACTACCAAGAGAAAATCTACCAATACCATTTAATTTCGCAGCTCAAAGTATATAAAAATACATGTTAATGAAAAAGCATTATGGATTTTTTCAATCGTGTCAGCAAATAATCTGCATTTCTGACTGATTTTCCAAGTTTTTAAACGATTTAGGCTTATATCCCCGGTTTATCGTTCAGCTGGTCAAAAACTAATGGCACCATTCGATTTAGCGGCTGAAAATACATAGAAAAATATACTGTTGATAACGAAATTCATTGATTACGGCCGTTAAAGGTCAGCTAAAACTTCTCTTTTTTACTCATTTTTCAGATTTTTCGAATATTTTTGCCTATAACTTTTTTCGATCGCTATCTAGATAAAAAATGATATGATCATTCGATTTAGCGACTCAAAATACACAAGAAAATTATATTTTTAAAACGAAAATCCGAAATTTAGACTAGCCTTTGTGAGGATGAACAATCTTACTCATTTTTCCCATTTAATATACATGAGTAATCTTAAGGGGCTTTGAAACACGCGTTAAACCAATTTTTAGGTTCTAAAACTTTTTTCCGCACAGTTTTTAGAGGTAATAGAATAAATATTTGCTCGGGGATCGGGTCCCCGAAGAAAAAAAAAATTAATTTCCACCCTAATGTACATCGACACCACCCATGGACTGATTATACAGGTGAAATGCTTACGGAATTGGTGTCTCAATTCTTGCTTTTTGAAGTGAACTATATCTTTTCAATGGCTGAAATGACGTTACTCCTGCAGTTGTAGATAATATAGACACTAATTTTGAATCCATTACGGTAATGTGATTGATAAACTGTTTTGTATTTCATCTATCACATATTTGAACAATAAAATTTTGTCTGAATTTTCATTAGAATATTTCCTTTCACCATCTTTCCAAATATATTCGTGATTATTTTTAAGCTTAGCTTGATTTGCTTCATAATTTTTTGAAACTTCTTTATAAGTGATTGACGGTAAATTTACGTCACAGTAAGTATCAGAATCAGAATCATCTGAAGATTCAGAATTATCTGTATTTCGTATCAAAACATTTTTGTCCTCTGAAGAGTCTTGTTCAAAATCGGAAGGAACAGCCCGTTTAGTTCGTTTTCGTGACATTTAAAAGTTTAAATATAATAAATAATAGATAATAATGATTCAACTTAATTTCTACACATAAAAACTTAGTATGAGAATTTATTTCTAAAATAGCAGAGCTGAAACTGTAAGTCAAATTTTACGAAAGCTAACAATTTTACAATGATATACTGTGACGGTAAACGTTTTATTAGCACTATCAACCCTATCATGCGGCTGCCTGCGAGGGCAGCACCTACTGGTTGGGGAAAATGTGCAATAAGGGAATTCGGTACGAGACGGGACGGAACGCGCGTGAATATAAATGAACCAGTCAAGGATTAGTTATCCGAACATTCAGCCGCTTAACAACATGCCAGGGTTTTTCCGCCAAGAGTTTCCAAGGGAAGTAAGCAGTGAGCCGGCCGATTTTCCGAACAAGAGAAGTGACATCTCCGCGCTCGCGAGAACTGAGTGTATGTGAGTGAGCGTGAGTGAGGAGTTTCGCCATCGAGGGCGAAAACCGAGAGCGGACTTTGCTTACGAAGAACGAACGTTAACGAACTTGCCTCCTTTCCCCTTGCGAGTAGTGCGCCCGATACGAAGGTAAGCTGGCCAGCTTTATATCGCGACTTTGCTTTACTTTTCTCACGTTCACGCGGAACTAGTTGCCAATATCTCGTAATCTGTAAGAATCGGCATCGTGCATGTACTAACCCGGCGAACAAAGATCTGCGATTACTCAAACGCTGCATGTTATTGACGCGCGCGCACTTTGTAAACATAAACACGCAGGCCAAGTATACTGTAGAAAAAAAAAGGAAATAAACTAACTCGCATGTGATACTTATTATAATTTCGCTGTTATTATTCCTCGCTAGTAGTAAGTTGGTTGATTGACTCCCGTCCCGTCCTGCTCTCCGACTATTGAATTTGAACATTTCGATATCACCGTGTGCATCTTAACACGCTTGCACGACGAACGAATAATCGGATTGAAACGGAGCAATCACCCTGTTACAATACTTAAAAAAGTATTTAATTGTTTAAAAATAATTTATTTCAAAAGATTATGTAAAAATTATGTGGAAAGATTATTTATACATATTATATATAGATATTATGTAAGCAATTTGTAAATTTTCAGTTCTTACTAGTGCTAAAAGTGAATGCCTAAAATCTGTTTTTTTTCGAAAATCATTAATTTTTATAAAAATTCTAAGGAGTAAAAATGTCTTAGAATAGATCCAAGAATACTAGTAAATTTCTTCAGAATTTTTGGAAAAAAATTTGTTTTTTCAAAAATCAGAAAAATCGAAATTTAAAAAATTTTTCTCAAATCACTTTGGAAAAATTTTCAAGTATTCTTTCATTAATTCTAAGACATTTTAATTTTTTAAAAATGTTTACTAAAGTCGATAGTTTTCCAGAAAAAAAATGGTAACTATTTACAGTGACGTTTATGTGGTTTTGGCCCTGTAACTGCACTTTTGTAAAAAAAAACGAACTTATAAAAATTACCAATTAATCTTCAGCAATTTTGTGTACCGATGGTTGAACACAACTTCATATATCGTCGCGTTTTATGTCTGAAAAAAAATCGTAAACATTTAGAATGACAGATTTTTTGCTATTTTTTACAAAAAAACGGGCATCTTTTTTTTTAAAGGCAAAATTTTTCAATTTTTACCACATATACGGATTCTGCAGATAAAAATACATAAGAAATCATGTATCAGACCCATTAATGACTCGATTACATGCATGAAATTTTACATCAAAAACATGATGTAAAATTGACGGTTTTGGTCGTTAATAGGTTAAAAAATGTATTCAATCTATATGAAGTATCTACTGTAAACGTAGACGAGCGAATAAATCTATACCTTGATGCTATCGCATATATAGGGTTAAACTCCTCAGTTTAATTGAAAGTGTACCAATTCCCCACCTCCACTCCATCTTTCTCAATGTCTAAATCAAAAGTTTATAATTTGCTGATCACATCTCGGTACATATCCGCTATTTGACTCTAACGTTGAAGAATCACTATCAGAGAGGTTGCAAAACTGATTTAATTGTCGACAATATCTGTTTCTCAACCAGTTTTTAAGAGCCATAACATTCCTAAGAAAAATTGCTAAGAATACTCTGTAATAATTACGTATAGTCGGACATGGTGCTTCAATTCGAGTATTATTATATTTGAATTAAAAAAAGCACTTGCATACAAACTTAAACTTATACCCCGTCCCTTTTAAAATATGCATATAAATGAAATTTCTTTTAATAATGTGATCATTCTCTTATTATCTATCAATAAATTTCAAAGCTCAAAATATGTTATCGAAAATATGTTTAATTAATAAATTTTGCATTCCAACCGAATGACCATTAGCAGAGTTGCTTATGAAGATGGAAGAAGAAGCTCAATCTGATATAGAAATGCTTAGCGATGATGATGAATTAATCAATAGGGCATATCATGATTATATTCAAAATAAAGAAACTGAAGAAGTGATGTATTCACTATACTCCTCAGAGATAGAAATTTCAGATACGTGTAGTACATGTGGCGAAGAAGATTAATAAACAGGTATATATAGTTTATGTCGATGTCAATTTATTCGTGATTGATACCTGCAACAGTCAATATCTATGCTAAAAACAAAAATGGAAATTCTATAAAACTGTTTAGAACACTTTCATCTGATTGAAAAAGCTATAAATCTTGTTATTTTTAAAAACCTACTTGATGAAATAATTATAGAACGATGGAAGAAAAAATGTATTTTTTTTTGCAAACTTTGAAAAAAGTTTTGAGACATTCATCATCACTTAGAGTGCCACAAAAACAATCATTGCTCAGTGGCCATTGGTAAACTTAAACGTATTCATAAAACTAGAAAATTGTAGAGTTCATGGAAAAAGTTTGGGTGATAGTATAAAAAATCGTATACAACAGTGAACTTGGAAAGCGCATTCGAAAACCATTTGAAAACTAGTATTATAGCCAATATTTCACATAGTGATATTAAATCATTCTTAAAAGATGCTTGCGATTTGTTTGCAAGACATGTCAAAAGTATTTTATGAGTGAAAAATGCTTGTAAATTTAATGCTGTACTATCATGCAAATTTTGGAAATATTCAAGTAAACGAGATGAAATGAAAAAGTCTTTTGCCACAAAACATTTTATTGCACAAAACATCAAAGTATATCGCTCAAATCCTCTCAAGAAATGGCTTAGTGATAATATAATATTAAAAGTCCATTATTAAACGAGGTGGAGGCATTTGAAAATAACCAGTCAGAATGGTCTTTGCATTCTGTTATTAATCTTTAAATTAATATAAATAAGTTGAATCCAATGCGAAGTGGAAGGTCTTATATACCTGTACCAAAATTTTTAGAAAACAAGTATGCTTCTATTATTGTAGAAAATAATGATAAGAAATGCTTAGTAGTATTATAGTTTTTATCTTTAGTAGTTTTATGCCGTTTCAGATACTACACAATTGAAATTCACTTCGTTAATTTCCGTGACTAATACCACTGAACCAAGGAATGAAAAGTAATGCAAACGTAAATTAATGGATTTTTTTTTCTTCATTAAGGTATCGACTTCAAGCCACGTCATTCGAATGGATATTTAAATTTCATAGTTTTCAAATAAAAATTTGTAACAAAAGCTCGTTCGTTATCAATTTAAAAAGTGGGCAAGTGAGGCGCACTCGCTTATAGCAATCAAAGCCAGGAAGGGGGGGAAAGGTAAAGAAATGAAAGTAATTAAGAATTACATACAAATCACAATCATCTCTAATTCTAATCAAAATCGAATTAAATTACTATGTATAGTTATGTATAGTGAAATTACACTTAAACTTCAAATACCGCAAAAGAACAAACCGTATAATTATACTTATAAGCAGCTTTTACAAGCTCTTAACCTAATGAACACATCGGTGTTGCAAACACGTCTTAACACTACAGAACACAACGGTGTTCTTAACACCTATTACAATAAAGGAACAAAGAATAAATTAACTAATTTATCGCGCTTAATAATCTAACTGACATACAGTACGTGTTGCCCGTCAGGTGACCGCTATGACGACGAACCGACTTAGCCTACTTATCGTAAAAGAGAAAATCGCCTGACGAGGGATCGCCTTGACGGTACTTTACCTGAACAAATTTATAACGCCGACCGTAATTAAGGCAGGTAACCGGCGTGTGCACGCTTTGCTACCTACCTGACTCTTACGACTACCCGCTGTGCCATACCGCTAAAGAGAGAGAGAGAGAAAGAAATATTACGAGCCTTGACTATCGATGCAGGAACGGGAGGCTTGGCTGCGCCCTGCGGATGGTGTTGCTGGCCGTCGCTGGGCAACACTTGCCGGCTCCTCCGGGTAGCGTCCCAAGCTAATGCTGGAAAAGTCCTCAGTTTCTTCTCGGCTTCTTTTCAGCTTCTTAGCGGCGTGTACTTTCGGCTGATCTTTTGCGCTCTCAACTACACTCTGTTCGATTAAATACCGTCTGTACCTCTGACCAACTGGAAACCTTCTGTCTCGCTGATCGACTCACTACCGTCTGTGTCGTTCGTTCGCTTCCGCGATCGACAGCTTCTTCGCTCGCTCTTTTTCTTCCCACTTGACCCACTTATTAGGCGGCGCGTGACCAATGCGCTTATTGGTTTGCGACGCACGCCTGCCTAATCCTGCGTGGGGCACGTATGCCCCTAACTCTCTCTCTCTCTCTCTCTCTTTCTAACATCTATACTTTGTCGTCAACTTAATGGCTTCGGGCTGGCTCGTCCTCGCTTGACATTTTCCGTCGGCTGAAACAAAGACCATGCATTAGGTGCATTCTTAAATGCGTCTAACGCTGGTCACCGTGCCTTGCCGAGAAAGGGAGAATTGGGTAAAAATACCGACGAAAACAAGCACATCGCTTGCTCTTGTCACAAGTTCATTAACATTTATAATTTAACTCATGAAACCAATGGCTGGCAATTATCTGAAAGGCTTCACGTGTTTAATTACAAATATTAATGATTTTTTTTCTCGGAATATGTGTCCCTAAATGTAGAGGTTCCTATTTTAAAAAACCAAGTTAACCTTGAGATGCCCTTGAAAATCATTTCCAAGGTCAAATTAAAGATCGCCGCTGAAATCCTTGACTGATTTACTGAAATGTTGTATGTTTCATATTTTCTGAAAATGCGTTTTTGAAAAACTAGAAGAGGTGGACGGGTGGTCTGGAACATCCTGTACATATATATATAGATAACAGCATTATAACTATAATGCTTACAGTTATTGATAGAATATTTTATATACTCGTATACACATGTATATGTTATAATAAATGTTGGCACCTTGTAGCATTGTTGGAGACTTCTCATACGTCATAATTTTACGGCATAGATTTTCTCTATTACTTACAGATTATTTAACTTAACGTTGAAGGAATAGCTAACAAAATTTATTAAATAGAAATATTGCTAGTATACCGGGAAATGATTGCCTCGTCATCCAATTGCGCCAAACCCATCGTGTCGTGCGTCACAGTAGACTTAGAAAGGTATACACCGGTTAGTTACAACACTCTCTCCACAATGGCAGAAACAGTACTCTTGCGTGCTAGTTCGCAATCTCCTTATGGATAAACTTTATTATCTGAGATGAGTAGTGGCGTTTAATGGTTTTAAACAGTCTTCCATCCTCAACGTCAATTACGTGTTCAATCATATGCATCTGAGCTGGGGATTCCTTCAGTACTATGCACTCCACTAACGCTTCGATCCAATTCCGTTATAGATGCTCCATTGACAGTCCTGCTACCTCTTTGCAACTCAATAGTCCGTTCCAACAAGGATAATAAATCTGTTGCGTTTTTTTAACAAACGCATTCCAATGACTTCATTCTGCGACTCGCATCCGTCGTTTGTGACATTCATATTGATTTCAAATGCTCGATCGGAATCCTAGCCGAGCAATTTATCGTTCTGTACGGCTTGGTCGCAAACGCATGTCTGAATCTTACCCACCACTGTGTCGATTTTTATCGACAGTCGCAACAGCTCTCTGGAGTATCCAAGAACCATTGCACTTTCGGTGACCAGCCCTGGATTCTAGATCCGAACTCTCGTGTGATACAACAATCCAACAGTGTCACTTGTTCCCCCGTATCGAAAAGAGACACTGTACGATTTGTTGCTAATCGTCTCCATTAGCAACGGTCGAATCTCGATTGAATTCATGAGCATGGATATGCATACGCTATCGCTGCTTCTATGTTACTGTTACTACGGTTGTAGCTCAAATGAAAAATGTCTGAATATCAGGAGAATTGGTTGAGAGCATCATAAACTATTAAGTAAACTCTACATCTTTGGCTTCAGAAGATCGGTACTTCCATGGATAAGTTCGTATCTATGAGACTGGATTCAGAGAATAACCTTGAAGGATGATAACTGAAGCGAAATTGAGTTGGATATGTTATAGAACAGTCTTATGACATATGTTGTTGTGTATGCGCACACGGGCGTGTGTGTGTGAATTAATGATCTAAAAGACTTGAATACACTAGTAGATATGATATTTGCTACCTCATTTGCAATTGTAAGAGAAGAATAGCTTATTTGAATTTCAAATTCTGTCTATGACTCTATTTACAAAATACTTACCCACGAAGAAGGATACATGAATGCTCTGGCTATTGAGAAACTTTCGGACGTGCAGTTTGCAATGATCGTGCGTGTGAGATAGCTTAAAATAGAATGAATGTAGGATAAATAAAATTAAATACGTCGGTTCTTTTGAATCAGTGCACACGACTTATTGTCGGCCGTCACATAAAGTAATTTTTTAAAAAACAAAGAAATGGCTCAAAAATATCGCGTTACCATCGACGAATATCACAGGCCAGCATAAATACACACACGCATAGCAGTGAGCCTTCTCTATCTGACCTTGAATATTGTAAATTTCACAACCATGACATTAGTTTCACTACTGGTATTAGAGCACATGATTGAAAAATGGAAACTCGTGTCGACGGCATCTGCGGAATATGCGCTCATGATCCAGAGGGAGGGAGAACGAGAGAGAAAGAGAGAGAGTGAGTTTCCAACGGTTGGAACAATACGTGAGTAGAGCGTTACCTAGTTAACCAAACCACTTAAAAACAAAGAAAATTATGTTGAGTTGAAATATATATATGTTCTGTGTAATCGTTTGTATTTTACCTTAAGACAAATAAAAAAATTCTAGCTATTTAAATCTCATCTGACGCTGTGCATTGCTGCTACCGACATTTATATAAACATCATTTTTCCTTTCCTCATTTGATGCACCTGGCTCCAATCTAGAGTTCTATCACAAAGCGTTCGATACATCCCCTTTATCAATTTAAACTACCATCGCCTACAACGCTTTCTGTAGATCTCGAAGTTTGAAAACCTTGTCAATATCACATTTCGTTAAGAGGCGGAACTTCACTCAACCGACAACGAGGTTCGCTCTTTGCTACTTTCTCTAATTATTCTCGCTGCCAACATATATTGTATTATTTGATGCAAAGCAGGTGGTGACTGGATACAGTTAAGAAAGCTAACACTTATTTTGTAACGGGGTGATTGCTCCGTTTCAATCCGACTATTCGTTCGGCGTGCAAGCGTGTCGCGATGCACACGGTGATATCGAAATGTTCAAATTCAATAGTCGGAGAGCAGGAGGGGACGGGAGTCAATCAACCAACTTACTACTAGCGAGGAATAATAACAGCGAAATTATAATAAGTATCACATGCGAGTTAGTTTATTTCCTTTTTTTTTCTACAGTATACTTGGCCTGCGTGTTTATGTTTACAAAGTGCGCGCGCGTCAATAACATGCAGCGTTAGAGTGATCGTAGCTCTTTGTTCGCCGGGTTAGTACATGCTCGCTGCCGATTCTTACAGATTACGAGATATTGGCAACTAGTTCCGCGCGATTGTGAGAAAAGCAAACACAGTCCGCTCTCGGTTTTCGCCCTCGATGGCGAAACTCCTCACTCACGCTCACTCACACACACTCAGTTCTCGCAAGCGCGGAGATGTCACTTCTCTTGTTCGGAAAATCGGCCGGCTCACTGCTTACTTCCCTTGGAAACTCTTGGCGGAAAAACCCTGGCTTGTTGTTAAGCGGCTGAATGTTCGGATAACCAATCCTCGACTGGTTCATTTATTCGCGCTCGTTCCGTCCCGTCTCGTACCGAATTCCCTTATTCCATTTTCCCCAATCAATAGGTGCTGCCCTCGCAGGCAGCCGCATGGTTGGGGTGATAGCGCTAATAGGACGTTTACCGTCACAGTTTATATAATTTTGAATTTACATTCTAGCTTTTAAATTGAGTAAACTTTTAAAGTAATTAATTTTCAATTATTTAGTTAATTTAATTGTAGCTTTTCAAATTAAGTAAGCATTTCGACTCACTTACTCTCTCTCTCTCTCTTTCCATATTGACGATCCAGAGATAGCACGACCTTACCTGAGTGAGTGACTCAAAGTTGTTGTTCACAATATGTATATATTTTTCTGTATAAAACCCTTCATACTGAATAAATTATTTAGATTTTAAGTATTTAAATATTTAAGTATTATCATATCAAGATAAACTTTTATGATAATTATATATGATCTTTAATAGTACTATATTATTAAATTAAATATACAAGTCCTATATAAAATGCAAATAATTCTACTTCTTCGAAATTAAAAAAATGTAAATTTTTTCAGAATTTTGATACTTACTTAAATGCAGTTTTTATTTAAAAATTAAAAAATTAATTTTTTATTTCAGTCTTGGTACTTCTAAATCTTTTATTAAATTAAATAGTCAGACGGAAACAAGAAAGCCTGACAAATTGAATCGATTGGATTCCCTGAGAGAATCTTTACCTGATTCTCAAATCGAAGGAACATTCGGACCGTTAAGTAACATGCAGTATGTATCTTTAATATAATTACAAAAAATAGTTCATTTTGATATCAGCTGTATACGAAAATGTAAAAAGATATTATTTATGTCAACATTGAAATAATCTGTAAATTTATTATATCATTATTAGAGTTTATCCATCGGGTGCTGATATGTATTTTTTTTCAAGTCTATCAAATAAAATTAAATAATGCTGTATGAATTGATTTTTAAATGTTCATAAAGTTAGACGTAAACGAAAAGTCAATGCAAATATTGTAGCATTGATTTTCCCGAATCAGAGACAACAGCAGCAGCAGCATCAGCGATAATGATAACGATATCACGTGCGAAATATTTTTTCTCAAACGATCAACCGTCTTAATGAAACTGTCTTAATGTAGGACACCCTAATTGTGTACCACAACTGACAGTGAGACATCACCGAGCTCATTTAGCTTATGCTAATGCTTATCAAAATTGAGCCATGGGATAATGAGGAAATGTTTTATTCAGTGACCAATCGAGTTTCAACTTTCATGATAGCGATAGACGTTCCGTTGTTTGGCACCGTAGAAAAGAATGTTTTTGCCAACACTTCATCCGTTCAGTCGTGGCTTCAGGGTCGCATTCTACGAAATTCGAGAACGCCTTTAGTAATCTTTCGTGAAAATTTAACGGCTTAGCATTATATTGACCAAATTTTGAGACCAATCGTTTTACCCCGAAAACAACATTTAGATTTATTTCTTTTAATGCAAGATTATGCACATCCACACATGACCAATATCAGTAGATGCTTATTTTAACGGCACAATATCACATTTATGCGATATCTACTAAAGATTTTAGACCTCAATCTTGTTGAACATATTTGGAACATAATGAACAGTCGTTTGCGCAGAATTTAGCCTTATTAAAACAAGCCCTACTGCAAATTTATCTGAAAGTCGTTATTGAAAACAGAAGTAACCACATTTAAAATAGAGGTAACAACAGATAAACAAATAGATATAGATATATACACCCGCGTACTTTTAGGAGAATGAGTTTGGATTTGTTAAATCTGGTGGAATTGAAAGACACCGGGTGTCATTTCTCATAAAGAACAACATACAAATATACACAGATACACGCGCATAGATGTGTGAAATCCGACCGCGCAACATCTACATGGTATTTTTTGGGTAAAGCTAATGCCACCGGCAAATTGATTTCTCGAATTTAATAACGTTATCCAAAAAATTATTAATCAAAATTTTTTTTCTCAAAATCAAACTCTGTTTGCAATAAAAGTTTGAGAAAATAAGAAAAACAATTAGTTTTTTCATTTGCAAGAGTGGTCAGCCTCCGTGCGCCTTGGGCTGGTCTCTGCTAATTTTTTCTGGGTTCTTTCTCAGTAAAGAAAGCCGGCGCTGACTTTCACAGGCCGAAGTTCGCGCTGGTTGGGGAAGGTTGATACAAAGAATCGGACACTTTAATTCAATGATATTACATATGGCGATCTCATTTATTGACGCCTTTTCACAAATATCGCTATAAGATTAACTTCGCCGCGGCGAGCGCGCTCGCTCAGCCTTTCCGCGACCAGAGTTCGCGGGATCACGCGAGCGAGATCGCTCAGCGTGCGCGATAAAATCGAAATACGCTAATGTCCGTAATCGAGCGAGAGCTGGCGCGATAGAGATAAACAGGCTTTGGACCCACCGGATGCCGACGGTCCGTCGACAGAGATGCGACGCCGGCGAAAGAGTAAGCCCGCTGGAAACGGCGCCCTGACGACGACCGAGGTTGCTGCAGGAAGGGCCACAACACGGCCTTTGCCCCGTGGACGGCGAATGGTCGCTGCTTGTCCGGGCTCGGCTTTGAACTCCTGGTTCTCCTGGCAAGTGGCAGTCGCACTCCTGGCAGCAAATCCTCTCTGGCCGAAATGTCGTCTCGTCCAATCTCTACTTAGGTTGCCCTAATTACTCGAGAGCTCGCGCCTAACTGCCCTTCTTCTCTCTTAATTTCTAAGCCTCGCGCCGCTACGCTCCCACTTCTCTCGCCGTCAAAAATCAGTCAAAATCGCTCTCTCTCTCTCTCGCTCTTCTCGCTCTCACTCGCACTCACGGCGCCACCTCACCGATCGTCGCGCTCCTCTCTCCAGATCCTGCAACGACACAAGTATGTAGTCGCTATATAGCGTCCACTTGGTCGCTGCGTTCACGCGAGGAGAGTGCCGCACACAGGGCCAGCGAACATCGCTATAGCCCTGTCACAGCCCCCCGCTAAGCCGCGGAAGCCGCAGGCACCCGTGGGTTACCCAACGCAACCCTCCTCGCTCGAACACAGGACCAGCGAGAAAACGACTTAAAACTATATTACAAAATCAAAATCATAAAAACTTCAATAATTCAGCTCGCCAAAACCTTCATAATCAATAAAAATAAAATAAATAAACAAACAGAAATAAACATACCATACCCAGACAAAATAGAAAATAAAATAAAATAATGCAACATAAAACCCTTCTAAAGTGAACAGATTTGGTACCTCAGCCTTCTCATGCTTTATCTGGGGCTGCGCCCTTGCCAATCGCCCTGGCAGCGAGCTCACATGCCTGGCGTTGGATTCTGGTCACCTCTTAACTCGTCCGTAAAATAAAAGAAATAAAATAAACAATACAAACATCACACTCACACAAACATCACGCAAAAAAAAAATCACTCTCGGCTGTTACCTTTCCTCGTACCTCGAGGAAGCACGTATCTTTTAAGCTCAGATACATGAGCCATTGGTATCTGCTTGTTGTTATTCGTGGTCAGCATATAAATTCCCGGAGAAACCACTCGCAAAATCTTATACGGACCGGTATATCGCGGATCCAGTTTTGCGTTTTTCCCCGCACTCGCGCTTGACAGAGTGTGTGCTCGTCTCAAGACTAGATCGCCGACCAAAAACTCTACGTCTCGACGTTTTCTATCATAATGTTTCTTCTGACGGTTTTGTGCTTCTTCAATATGTTTAATCTTAAGATCGCGTAACGCATCAAGTCTCGCCATACGCTCGCTCCAATCCTCGATCGACGAGCGGATGATCGGCGTTCGCGTTTCTACCTCACGACGCAGGCTTTTAGCCTGCTGCGGTTCGCGGCCAAAATTCAAGAACGCCGGCGAGACTTTTGTGCTCGCCTGTATCGTCGTATTCAACGCCTGCCTGAATTCATGCAGATACTTATCCCAATTCCTGTGATCCTGATCGACGAACATCGCCACCATTAGCTTCAGCGTCTTAATCGCTCGCTCGGCGAAATTCGCCTGCTGATGGTACGGCGGACAAAGTACGTGCTCAATCTTGTACTCGTCTAGCGTCGCTCGAAACTCATTCCCACAGAAATTCTTACCATTATCCGTGACAATATACCCCGGTATCTCCCATCGATACAAAATAAGCTCTTCAAGAGCCTGCGCGAGAGCTTTCCCCGTAGCTGACACAAGAGGTTTAAACTCCACGTATTTCGTGAACAAGTCCTGAAACACGACTAAGTATCTAAACCTATTCTTACTCCTCGGGAGTTCAATCACGTCTGCCGCTATCACCAACCACGGTTGCTCAACTACGCGCCTGCTCATGAGGCCCATCGGAAATTGTTGTTCTATTTTATACCGTTGGCATTTCTCGCACGATTGCACGAATTCCGTGATGTCATAATACATTCCGGGCCATGAATACTCCCTCGCGACTCTATCGTATGTCTTATCCCTTCCGAAATGTCCTGCCGAGGGCTCGCAGTGTGCGTCTCGCATCACTCGAGCTCGGTGTTCTAACGGTACCACCAAGCGCCAACACTGCTCACGGTTTGTAACCGGATCAAGTAACCTATCAGACGAGAATCTATACAGCATTCCGTCCTCCACTCTCCAATTCCGAAATTTATCCGGTTTCGCAAGTACGTCCTTCATGCGCTGCAAGTATTCAGGGTCCTTGATCGTCACGACAGCTGCTACTTCCTCGCCGTCCTCATACGCGCGCGATAACGCGTCCGGCGTATGATGCAGGCGACCTTTCCTGTACACGATTTTAAAATCGTACTGTTGGAGTTCTAGAACCCACCGCGCCAACAGACCCGTAGGTTCCTTCTTATTGCGTAGCCAAGTAAGTGCCGTATGATCCGTGACTACCACGAAATGCACTCCCTCAATATAAGGGCGGAACTTTTTAATCCCCATTATCACAGCCGCGCATTCCAACTCCGACACAGTATAATTACGCTCGTGCACATTCAACATTCTACTCGCGTAGCATATAGGGTGTTCAAACCCATCCTCATCCTTCTGAATCAGACACGCACCTAACGCATACAACGATGCGTCGCAATGAATAAAGAAAGCTTGCTCCTGCTCCCAGTGCCAACGTTCGCTCTTGCGCGTAAGCTTCGTGAGCGGTACTTTCATCTCGCTCTCATGCTCAATAAATCGCGCATACCATCCGTACATACCAAGAAAACGTCGCAACTGCTTAACGTTTCGGGGCTGCGGGAAGTCAATCACCGACTTAATCCGGTCCGGATCAGGTCGCAATCCTTGACTATCCAATCGGTATCCCAAGAACGTCACCTCGGAGCACCCGAATTCACACTTCATCACGTTTACTTCGAGTCCCGCATCTACCAGCTTCTGCAGAGCTCGCTCAAGCCAAGTCAAATGCTCATCAAAAGTTCCGGTTACTACGAGTACGTCGTCTAAATATTTTAAAACATATGGTTCAAATTCCGGTCCGAAAAGCGTATCCATCAGCCGCATGAACGTCGCCGGAGCATTTACTAATCCGAAGATCATGTAATTACATTCGAATAACCCTAATCCCGGGACTGCGAATGCCGTATATCTCTTGCTCTCCTCGCTTAGCGTAACTTGCAAGTACGCATTCTTCAAGTCGATTTTAGAAATATAACGCGCCCCACGCAGTCGATCGAGAACTGAGTCAATGCTCGGCATCGGATATGCATCTGTTTTCGTCGCCTTATTCACTGACCTTAAATCTAT